TTAGCTTTTACCTAAACTCCAACAATGCTCATGTAGTATAGAGATTTCAACTGCAAGCTTTAAAGTTGTGGTTAAATAGATTTTTGAAATCAAGCAATTTGTCAAATATTGTCAAACAAAGACTGAAGTTAAGCTTGTGATTCATTCCCATCTTTACAAAAACTAAAATTTGTCTAAACTTAAGACACAAGGACGTGAAACAGTTTGGAAGGAGAATAATGCTCTTATCCCAGACATGAGGATAATTTACAAATCCAAATGAATTTTGCACGGCCATCTGATTGCCTGTCTTACGTATTATTTATATGTGAATGATGGATGCAAAAAATAAAAACATATAAAGAGTCAAAAAGTACCTGCTCCTGCATTCAGCAACCTCAGATCCAAGAAGCCTAAGCTGACTATGAATCTTTTGATCGTTAATGGCAGTCCATCGTTCCATCTGTGCTAGTCCAACAGGAGACCAATATGCACTCTCTCCAACAGTTGATTGAGAATTAGCTGTATTTTTTAGAACAACTTGGAAAGAAAAAGCAACAAGACGTTCTTGTAGCTCACCTTCACTTTTAATGAGCAAATCATTCCATGAATCTGAGTTACTTCCCTTATTACTTGATCTATTGTGTTTAAATTGATAATCTTTAACTGAATCAATCCCCATTTCACTAAGCATCACCCTTCTGCAGATAATGTTTAGCAGTTGAATTTTACGAGAACTAACCATCAAAATCTTATCCTGGTCACGAAACAATATAGCCTCAAGTGAATCACTCACTGGACCTGAAAACCAGCTGGATATCCATTTAGTTATCATATTCTCAACCAAGACAGGAAAATCTTTCCTAAGGTTTCGTAACAAGGTTAATGTGTCCCAAATCACTATTGGCTTATTCACATTTTCTAAGGATTTCAAAAACCCCAAGGTATTGATTTCCCAGCAGGTAAACTCCGGCACAGACAAACAGCTTATGGCTTCAAATCTGCAACCATCAAGTCTACTGTCATTTGGAACCTCAAAAGATTGGCCACCACTCCAAAAAAACTCAACAACGGCTCTCTGGGACCTACAGATGTCAATTCAATAAATTATGCCCAAGAAAATTGAGAAATGTTCAACATATTATAATTGAAAATGTTTTCAAATGTTCATTTTAGGCAATTGAATATTATAGTATGCAATCACCTCTTCTCATACATTTGGTGCTGAAGATTGGCATCAAAGCTGTGGACCTGTAATAAAGCAAATTCACTTTAAAAGCAAATTTGTATGTTGACGAGCGAGAGAGAGAGAGAGAGAGAGAGAGAGAGAGAGAGAGAGAGAGAGAGAGAGAGAGAGAGAGAGAGAGAGAGAGAGAGAGAGAGAGAGAGAGAGAGAGAGAGAGAGAGAGAGAGAGAGAGAGAGAGAGAGAGAGAGAGAGAGAGAGAGAGAGAGAGAGAGAGAGAGAGAGAGAGAGAGAGAGAGAGATGAAATATGGCATAATTGTTAATTTAGAAATCCATAGAAACTCGAATAGTTAAGAATTAAGATAAGTGGGGTACAGAATTTAGATTATTTTTATAGCAACAAAAGTTAAAACTATGCTGATAAGTATAATTCAATTATATCCTAGAGAACATGAATGCAACATGCCACTTAGGGAGTGAACAATCTTTACGTATACCTATAAAAGATACAAAAATATTTAACGAATCTATGCTAATGTTAAATATAAAATGATAATAATTGAATGAGATTTACACATGTAATAACCTATGGCGTCAAGTTGCATTCATTTTCTCTAGCCAATATACAATGTTTTAGGGGCAAGGGTGTTGTTCTTCATACTAAAGCTTACCATAGCAACCATCTGCTCTCCAGGGGAAAGTGCAAGCCCAAAGCATAGATCAGAAACACTGGAAAGCTGCATATTAATTTGAAAAGGGTGTCAAATAAAACAAATTTAAAAAGCCAAAATATGCCTTTGAAATGTAAAATATATAATATACATATATACTATCGAGAGGAGAGAGGGAGGGTGCGCACAGAGAGAGAGAGAGAGAGAGTGAGAGACTGCACCACTAAAAAGACAATATAACAAATTTCCTCCTTCAATTTGTTTCCACCATTTTATACAATCTTCAAACTCAAATCAATCCATTGATTTGCATATGAAGAGTAAACCATTTTTTCAAATACTTTTATTTATCAAGTCAACCAAAAGAACAAAAAAAACTAAAATTTCAGAGAGAGTATAGTCATGCCTTTCAAAAAAAAAAAAAAGGATCATCAAACACCTTTAAATTATCCCCAACCACTAATGTATCAACAATCCATCCCAGAGACATTTCTTATGAGAAATAGAAATGATTTCAAAATTAGGTATGAAAAATTATTACTTATCGTACATGCATTGAAAAAAAGTAGAGAAAAGTTCTTCAAATAATGCATTGCACCAATTTTAATGATGGTCGAAGAGCTGTTTGGATTTTACAATGGATAAATGTCACAGGCTCCATCCAAACTTGAAAGCTAAAGCTCAAGCAAACAAAGAGGGGTCTAACCCAATTGCTATGGACATATCTGCTCAATCTGTGGAGAAAGTTCCCATAAGACAGGATTTGTTGTCTGATTTTACTGTGGATCCCCCCTTGCCAAAACTGCCAACACCGCAGTTCCTGATGAAGCACATCATACTACAGGTACAGATCCAAATGTGTTTATACCACTCACTGTTATTGAAGAAGACCCACCTACATGTCAGGACACACGAGAGTGCTCCCGCTCCCCTGATCTGATAAAAGATCAGCTGGTACAACAAGTAGTTGCTTCTAATGTTCAACAACCTACACATGTCTGACATATTTTAGACTAATCCACTGACTGGATGAGTCAATCTTCGGATGAGGAATGACAAGTCTATTCCAGGAGGAAGAAGAAGGAGAGACTCTAGCTCGGGAATTTATTGGATGATACATTGGTTACTACTGACAATGACACTCATCTCATCAATTTATTAGCTGGCTCCTTCACTAGAACTAGAGGCAAAGGCAAGGCAAAATTGGGTCGCTCTTTAGTTACCTGATAATCCCAATTTTGACAGTTTTTTATTTTTTTTTTCTTTAGGTCTCTCATGTATTTTTTTGTATTTTCTCTTTTTGGAACCATTTGCATATAGTGGTTATCGTGTGGGCAAGGTGCCATGTTTGAGCCCTCCCACAAATTTATATGTATCCTACTTTCTTTTTAATATATTAGCTATTGGGCTTTCTCAAACAAAAATAAAAAATAATATATATATATATATACCCACCCCATGTAACAGACAGGTGAAATAAGTGGAAGTAACGAATTGAGGAGAAATGTAAGATGGGATGGATGAGAGAGACAACCAAGCGTACATGGTGAAGCTCGCACAACAAACAGAGAGATGATGAAATGGAGGAAGCGATGGAGAAAGTAGCGAGATTAGATGTGGAGCTGACAGCAAAGGAGAGGAATATGCTCTCAGTTGAGTACAAGAATGTGATTGGAGCTAAGAGATCCTCGTGGAGGATTCTCTCTTCTACAGAGCAAAAATGAGGAAGCTAAGGGAAATGAGTGTCTGGTTAGGAGGATAAAGAGCTACATGAAAAGGGTAGAGGATGAAGTGGCAAAGGTCTGCAATGAGATTTTGTCCATCATAGCCATTTTATGGGTTTTAATTCTAAGGAGCGTTTTGTAGCGGTGTTGATGAAAGAATATAAATAAATGTGTTTATGACAACTTTTAATGGATGTTAATATGTGTGCTTTGTTAATTTCCTAAAAAATATGTAACATAAGACTATTAAGATGATCCTGAAGTCGAGCATATGGAATTTAATATATACATCTATATATATATATATATACATCTATATATATATATATATATATATATGTATATATACGGACGCAAGTAGAGAGAGAATAAAAACATACATTATTATTAGATGCTTCAGAAGCAGCAGAATTCGAAGATAAAGGTGCCTCACATAGAGAATCCCCACGAAAAATCCATCTGCGGATTGAATTATCCTGCATCAATAAAGTTCTTATAAGCACATTCAATCTCAAAAGCAATTCATATAAAATTGAAATGAAATACATATAGGTTTAGTAATTTGAGTCCTCTATTGTTTCACAAGACGAGAAAAATATCACTCAGCATGAGAAAAACTTGAGCAAGATTTAAATTTCAGAAATGTTTGCTGAAAAACAGTTAAATTTCCTGGCATGAATTAATAAACAAGAACAACATTACCTACTTAACATTTAGCCCAAACTAAAAAGAAAAAAAAAAGTAAATATGAAATGTCATGTTAGATCATGAGTTGTTAATCAACCCTGACACAAGCACTGCAATCAATTTTGTGCCAAAATTCAGGTATGAGTTTGTACTAAAAGACAACAACTAGCATGCAGGAAATAATTTGTTTTGTTATTGGCGATGTGTTTATTAGTTAATTTGATTTCTTAAATTATGTTGTTAGATTAAACTTAAAATCTAATTTTCCCATCATAGGGGACCAAGGAGACTGCATGAACAAAGCCCCAGAAAGCCAGCAGGCAAGAGGATTAGATTAGATGGGGCTTCCACATGCCAAATAGAGCACGAGCACCCCACACGTGACGGTGGCAATTTTGACCATACATGATCAAGCCATGCTCAAGTATTATAAATTTTGACATAAAAAACTACTAACTTTCCTTCCTCTTTCTTTTTAAGGCTATGAGGTAAGTTTTGATTAAATTTTATCTTAAAATTTTAAGCACAACGTTTAGTTCAAAATGCAATTCTTAGTTAGGGTTTTCCTCTTATAGTGATATTTATTTTAGATTTATTTTGTTATTTCTTTAAATTATAAAAGATTTAGTTTTTTTTTTGTTTTACAAAAAATTTAGTAGGAGGAGAAAAATTCATGAGAAAAGTTTGAGATTTTGGAAAAAGGATAAAAATATTGAGTTATGCAAATAGAGAGTTTATTGATGAAATCTGAAATTTTTTAACTTCTTTAAATTCAGAAAAATTGATAGATTCAAGCATAGTTTTAAGTATTTAATTTCAAAATTGCAAGTACATTATTTTATAAATTCCAAATTTTAATAAAGATATTAAACTTAAAATTAATAAGGAAATCCAAAATTTATTTTGATTTAAAATCTTGTATATTTATGCTATAAAAATGATTTCAGCAATATTAAAGTTAATATTCCATAAGCTTGATTGAAATGGAAAAGATAAAAAATTTTATACTAACTGATAAATTTAATGCAAGTATAATACAAACACATAAAATAATATTAATAATTAAAAACTATGCCAAAAAGAAAAGTTTGATATATTAAAAAGTCTAAAAATTGAAAATACAAAAAAAAAAGTTTAATTCAATTAAAGATATTTTATTTAAGAAATAAGGACAAGATGAGTAAAAAAATCGAAATATTATGTTATATGTTTGAATTAATTGAATTAAAAGGCATAAATGTTGATTATCACATGTAAAATAATAAAATTTGAGATTAAAAAGATTTATATTGATTTATATACTTGAATATATGTAAACATTAAAAAATAATATCCATCTAAATAGAAAAAATTTTATATGTATAGTTAATTAGAAAACTTAGAATATTTATTTGATCTAATCAAATATTTATTTGATCTAATCAAATATAACGACATGTAATTTAGATGTGAGATCCTAGAAATTGTAAAAAAAGAAGTCTCACATACAAAATCTATTGAAATATGTACTACATTAAAAGGAGCAACATTTAAAGAATAAGTAAAAAGATGGTTTCCAAGCGAGGTGGGTAACTGCATTCCTACTTTACAGTAATCAAATATAATTCACATAAAATTTTGATACGTCAATTTATTATATCCTTTTTTACATGCAGATTGGCTTCCAAATTTTGGATTATTATAATTTTAAAATATTTTTAGAAAATGAGTTATTTCAAACGGCAGCAATTGATCATTAAAAATGCGAAAGAATACAGCTTGTTTACAGTCAGCAAATATCAGTTGAAGATAGGTATAGCAATACAATGGTATACCTTATAAAAAGCATTACAAGTAAAACTATAAGTTTTAGTTGGTCAATTTGAGATTGGGAGATTTATTGTTGTAAATTTTCTAAAAAATATATAGAGATTTTTCAATCTGACAATCGGTTCCCACCTTTGTATTTCAAACTTTCAGGTCAGGTTGTAACTACCTACAACTCAATATCCTCCATATGATATCATAACATACCATTCCAATATCCAAAAGAGCACAAACTCTACAAATCCCTTCCAGAATATAGTAAAATTACTGCCACATATTTCAACATGAGTTAGCCCAACCCCTCAATGCAATGGGTAAGACCAATCCAAGCAATTTTAGACTAAAAATATCAAGCTTTCACCAAGTGCTCATCACAAAAAAATTTAAATAAATACAAGTAAATCCAGAAGAACAAAATTACTCAATATTAATGCAAAACTAAGAAGATATTCAAGCAGGATGAAATGTAAACAATACTTTGTGAATATATATGAAATAGCCGTTATATAAAATAGAAAATAACCATTAGATGAAATGTATAAAGACTAAACAATTAGATATTTTTGAAACTAAAATATGGCAACAAATCTAAACTAAAAATTTCAAAGAATTTCATACCTGACTGCAACTGTACAAGCAAGCACCATCAAAAGCCCAAGCCAAACCTGTTACCTATAAGAATAGCACAAATATATCAGCATAGGAATTACAAGAAAAATAGTGGCATACACCTGACTATTGCAAAATACCACTTGTTCATGGGCATTACAGTTCGCAACAAAACGAAGCTTCTTGCTCGATATATCATAAATCCACACATCCAACATTCCAGCTCCTCTTCCTATCGCTAAAACAACTTCCTCTGGCGTTGTTATTGGAATAACCAAAGCAATAGTCGAAACAGGAACAGATGTAGAATTTTTCACCTATAGTTCAAGGGATAACAATTAGATGAGACGTTAAGGAATAAGTAAGTTAAATGTCCGGGGAAATAAATAAGGAAATAGCAACATTTAATCATGAAAGTAATACCTCTGCTAATAATAAAAAGCAATCATTCCTAACGTCTGTCGCTAATAGAAATCCTTCAACATTGCCGGACCAAATCTTCACACTGGAAATCAACAACCAATTCAACATTGATATATTATTAACAGAATCAATTTGTACAAAATAACAACAAGAAGTTTAGCAACACATGCAAATGTAATACACAAACTTTTGTGCTTGATTTTAATAGTGATAAAGGCACCATGGCCAAACCATAATTTATAAGACCTAAAACTTGTTCTAATTCACTAAAATAGACAAAAAATTACAACAACAAGCTTTCCTCTAAACAAAAACTGGCATCAGTTTTTTTCAGTATTAAAACCCAGACTTCCCCCTTCGGAGGAGAGGGATAACATCATAGATGACACGCCTAATGGTAACTTGCATCAAGTATTATAAATTACTTGGTAAATGATGCAATATTCAGAGATATTGCCAAAGTAGACTACAACTATTAGCTTGCTCTGTAAAATGAATTGGCCATGCGTAAAAAACCTCCATGACAGGAATGTCGGATGATAGGACACCAAACAAATGAATGTATCAACAATCTAGCTTGACAAAAAAAACTAAATGTAAATCCGTTGTCTTCGAAAATGAAAAAGGAATTTTTACCTTGTTTTAAAGGCTGAATATGCAATTTGAGCATTTGAAGTTTCTTTCCTTTTACAAAGACTTCGAACTCACAAATGCTTTGTACCACATAACATAAAACGTGACCATAAGAAAAATGGAAGTCACAATTCAAAACCTTTTGCAAAGTCCCCAATCATAAATATTGGCAAAGAAAAAAGCTGAAAGCCAGAGCATAAAACAACAAATATGGGAAATGATCCCAAACAATTATGGGCCGATTTGGTTTAAAAAATCAAATTTGGCTGCAAATAAGGAGCAAAGTGTAGATTAAGCATTGTCATAATTTGGTTGAGCCAGGTAGAAGTGGGGCACATGAAAAAAGCTTCTATATGCTGAAAAGATACAACAAGAATAATAGCAGCTAGCATAAAAACCTACTGAAGTGGAGCATCGTTGCACGAGATTGCGGAATCTCGCGTATTCGCGGGATCGCAATAACACCAGTGATCACAATTGTGTGGATAAATATGTGATCCCATCCTATTGGCTCTTTCAGCCCAATTTTATTTCATTTCTCATTTATTGGCTCTTTCAGCCCAATTTTATCTTTCTTATTTTATTATTCCAATTAAGGTTTTTTGTATTAGGTGACTATTTATGTATATGTTTTTGTTGTTTGGAAAAATTTTGCTATCATTATTGTGTTTGGAGGCTTTGTCATCTGCTTTATGCTCTTCGAAGTATTTTATCATCTTTATTTTGCAAGTGGAGTATCTATATCTTGCTCAAGAACAAGTGGTGATCCTACTCACCGCTCATACTTCATCATTTTGTTGTGCGACTCCTCTTTTTAGTCCAAACAGCCATTAAAAGCGCTGAATCTGCTGTCCAACACCAGATTTCTCCACCTATCTCCTTCCAAAAGCCTTCAT